CAAGGATGCTAAACAAGCAGAAGACACACAGGCATCTTCCCAGAGACATTGCAGCAATGTCTCTTTTTTGTATTCGTCACATTATTGCTCCCACACACACACATTTAAACTCGGCTCCACCAGCTCTTGAATTTAACTTACATACAAGCAGTCTGGTCTGTAATGCATTTAGTTATGCAAAAGGAAAAATCCACTTAAAAGTTTGGCCCCTGGCACATTAGTACACAAGTACCTGGGCTGCCACTACCTCTACATTATCAGAGGGCCTCTCACCCAGGGTATCCCACCCTTTTAGCAGATAGGCTGGATATGTGCTGGGTCAGTATCACTCCTAAAGAAGAGAGTCCAGTAAGATAAGGCAAATAGCTTATCCAAGACCAGATGGGGGGGGGTCAGGACTCCCCAGTTCACAATCCTGCACTTTAACCACAAAGTCATCTTTCAGTTATAGACATCAACTGTTCCAAGAGCCCACATTGCTGTCAGACGGGCACCACAGGCAGGTCACGCATTAAGACAGTGAGCATGGAAAGATTATTCCCTCTGTAAGCATTCAGATCATTTTGCATTACACATAGGAAGCTGTAAAACCATATTCCATCAATGAGAAGTTGATAATGAAGTTTTGCTTTTACTAAGCCAATCATTAAATCGTGCTGGTCCCATGTTATAGAGAAATAGGCAGCAACACATAGAATAAAACAGATTGTCTTGAAGTATTCTCCTCTGGATATCTGTAATTATAAACCAAACATCATCAGCTTCCCTCTCTCCCTGCAGTAAATTATTAACTGCAAAAGAATATTTCTCTTGGCTCCATCCTCCCCATCAATTCTGCTTTGCAACAATGTACCACCCGGATTGCTCACTCTGTCAGTGCATCCCTTATCCAAAACGCCTCAGAAGACATGGAGGAGAGGTGTAACTGTTAACTTCGGAGCAGCAGAGACCTTTCCTTAGGGGTGCAAGAGGGCACCGTCACGTAACTTGGAGTACTTAGAGCAGATAGCTATGACATACACAGCTTAGGTCATTTGCTGCTGCAACATCACTGCAACCATCAGTGGAGGCGAATCACGCACTCTGAGCACTCCCATCACGCTCCTCTGGACTGCCTGTGCTTTATTGCCAAAGAATAGCAAAATTCCTCCCCTGAAATACGAGGTTTTCTATTCCTTTCGTTGTTTTTGAAAAATATCCTCCCCATCTCTAGATTTCATCTGGGGGAAAAAAAACAAACAACAAAACCCTAAACCAATTCAAGTCTTCTCCATACAGCAATTTCATTTTTAAGAGACTTTAATCTTTGAATACTAGATCAAATTGAATATTGTGACTGCTTGGTCATGCACAGTAACCTGTTCACCTCTTGCCACTTACCCTCATCAACCTGACAGTCATACAGACTCTGCAACTAACAGATAAGTCAGAAAACGTTCAGAGCACTCATTCCTTTTGCCCTACTGAAAGGCACCTCCTGGCTGTAAACCCAGCAGGGAGGAAGGATGATGCCAGGAGGAAAGCAGAACTGCCTGGCAGGAAAGCTGGGTTTGGTCAGACAGCAGATGGAAGCAGGTTGCATACAGATACACAATCAATGAACAACACAAGGTCTGCCATTTGATCCCAGTTTCTTTCTTAAGATACAAAATCAAATTCACGTTTGAAAAAGGCATAAGGAGAGCATAAGCAAAAACGAGAGCTGGGAAAAACCTCCAGAATTGCAGGAACACCCTTCCTGCAACAGCCAAAAAACTCGGGGAGAGGCAGAGAAGCATTACCACTGAGCAAACATCTTCATACTCACACACAGTCTGGGCTTAGTTTTAAATTTTTATGGGTTTAAACACATACCAATTTAGTGGAGCTGACTATGAACCGTTCAATAAAAATCTCCACTAGGAAGGTAGAGAAAAAGAGGGAAAATGGCTAATTTAGACTCAAAAAGCATGGAAAGAGAGGTTCAATAGAGAGGTAAAAGAGAATGAACAGAAAACCATGACGCAAAAGAGGTAAGTGAAACAGACACCGAGGACAGTTCAGAACAAGATAAACCATGAAAAAGTGGAGTGAAAACTGGAAGGGAAAGATAAGAGAACAAGGAACATTCCATGGCAGATCAGTTGAACGGCAGTTGGCAAATAGATAATTTGTTTAATCTCATCCATATTTGTCAAATAATTTATTTGATTAATACGCTTTGGTCCTCAACCAGCTATAAAGCTGATCAAATATCATGTCATAAATACATTATTAGATTAATACAGGTAAAATTCAAATACGTTCAACATTTTTATCTGTTGCATAATAAGCTCTGGTTTTAAGTTTACAGTTCAAAAATGTTAAAATAGAAAGCTGGATATATATTACTATTAGATAAAAATCCTTGGAGCACAATCATTTTGCTTCTTCTAGACTTGACAAAAAGTACAGTATATTGTATAACACATCTTGAAAGACAGGAGAGGAGATATTCCTACCTTTTCCCTTTAACACATTCCCACAACAAACACCTTTCTACAGATAGCACTTTTTGTCTTGGATTTTATTTTGTTGAATATTTCCCCAGTATTCAACTTTTCTTACTCCATAAAGATTTTCACCCCAAGAAAACTTGGTATTTTCTCCAAGCCTAGCAGGAAGGTAAATTTGGGGCGCACCAGTAGCAGGGGGGGAGGTAGCAGGTGCCATGTGCAGCCTGGAAGCAAATGTTTACATTTGTGAACTTAGCTCTGCTCCTCTTAAAGCAAAGGGAAGTCAGGTGAAAGATGGCTACATGGACAAGGATGCCTCAGGACCTCTACTCTCACAGGGAAGTTTCCCACATTATCAGCAGACTTTTCCAAATCTCCCTAGGAGAATTAGAAAAAAAAAGGTCAATTGGCAATTTTTCAGCCTTTTTTTTCCCTTCCTCCAAGACAATACCCAGGTCTCCTTGAGAATCCTCAGACCCGGAGTGAAAGCCACCAAGGCAGACCATCTCCATGCATGTGGTGGCAGGTCCGCCAGGGAGCCCTGTGCAGCAGCACCAGATCCGATAAGGAAATCATGGCCATCACTTTCTAGGCAGACATCAGAGAAGCATGAGGGTACTCCCACTGCTATTCTACCTTCATCACTGAGAGCAGCCAAGAATCAAACTCATCACAGGAAAGAACCACACCAAGGGTAACTCCCTGGGGCCAGAAAAGTGTCCCTCAGGTCATATGTCCTATTTAAATATCACAGCAATATCCCAAAATAAGATAATTATTGCTAATTATAAGATCATTTTTATGTAAACATGAAGGATATTACCATGTATACTTCATCTCTTTTTAATTAAAAGAAATAAGAGGTTCACTGAGATAAAAAAAAGACATGCTGACAGCTCCCACCCAAAAGCAGACTTTTCTGCAGTGATAACACCCATCAGCCTCCAGACCCACCAAGGAGACTGAACAAGGAAATCAATCAGCATCAGCCTCCCCAGTGCTGAAATGAAGCAGTTGGCACAATATTAATCACATAGGGAAAACATTTGACAAGGAAAGGGCTAGACACACAGAGGGGGGACACACATGGATTAAAAGTCACGGCTGTCTTACAAACACTTGCAGAAATCACACAAATCACCAGCTGCAAAATCAAAATACTCTGAAGAATAAAAACATTACCAATTCTGACTCCAGCAACTCTTCAGTTGAGCTCACACCAAACCTCATGTGCTTTCCTCCATTCAAAACCAGTTCCTGCTCCAAGCCGCACAGCCTACCCACGCCAACCAGACTGGAGTACATCATGGCACAGCCTCACCAGGAGTCTGTACCCCTTCTGCATCTCAAAGACCAGAGTAAAAAGAGACATGTCATAGGCTAAAAGAGACATGACCATCCAACCTAGGACACCGAAATAGTCAATGGCTTGACTTGCCATGCAGTGGTTTAACAAGCCATTCCTGATGCACGGTCCTCCTGTTTCCAGCTGTCCTAAGCATTTCTCCAGCCGCTCCAGAGTTCACCAGTCCACTCTGATTTCTCATTGTCTCTTTTGTCTCCAGACACGCTCCACTGCTTAAGGCAATTTAAAACACAGCCCCAGCCAGGATCCATACGGGCCAAGCAAGCTCTCAGATGTCCCTTCACTGGGGTTGAAGGCATTGCACCCCCGGACCCCGCGACACCCTGGCACGGCAGGCAGGCAGCCTCGGAACGCCGCAGAGCCCCGGCAGAGAGCGTCTCTAGGAGGAAGGGAGTGTCACCAGCTCCGCAGAGCCGCATGCTCACAGAACGGGGACCTCGCTCACTTCATCACAGATGCACATATATACCTGCGCCTCCGCCACCTGCGCGCCCCCTCCGCGCCTCGCCCCTGGCCTGCCGACGCCTGGCACTGCCGTGAACCTGGTCTCTCCCGGGGGGTACTGCAGCCCAGCAGGCACCTACTTGGGCAAAGAGTGGGGAGTCACATGACAGGAGCAGCGTGGAGGATTCAAGGGGGTGAGGGAAGGTGGGTGAAGGGGGCTGCAAACTGGGGGTGCGAGAAAGAGCAGGTGGAGAGGGCTGCAGCTAAGAGATGTGGAGGGGAGCTGGAGGGCAAGAGGGAAAAAGGGAAGGGGGTTGCAGTTTGGGAGGGGGAGGGTAGGAGGAGTGTAAAGGGGGTGAAGAGGCTGTGGATCGGTGGTACCCCATCACCCTCCTACCTCGGCGGCCTGCCGGGGCTGGGGTCGGCAGGCAGCGCCCAGGCAGCAGAGTCATGGCGCGGCCAGAACAGGTGGGTCCCCGCCACCGCTCACCGGGCTAAGGGTCACTCCTTCCTCACAGCCGCCGCCGGGGCACGGCGGAGGGCACCCCCAGCACGATGGGGGTACAAACTCCCCGGGGTGGGGGAGAACAGCCCCGCTAACAGGTGGTGGCGGCGCTGCCGCCCCGTCCCCGCCGCGCCGGTGGGCGCTGCCCCTCCGCGACGGCGCGTCCCACCCACCTCGAGCCAACCCCAGCCCCAGCCCGGCGGTCACTCACCGGCTCGTCCACCCCGCCGGGCGGGATGCGCGTCCTGGAGAGCGGGGCGCGGAAGTTTAAAGCCGGGTAACAGTATTATTTGCTTTTTTTTTCCTTCCAATGGAGGAAAAACCAAACTAGACGAGGCGCCCCCCCCCCCCCCACCCCAGGCGGGCGAATCCCCGCTCCGCTCCTCCCCGCCGGGGGCTTTCAGCCGCGCGTCGGCCCGGCGGCGAGGGGAAGTTTCCACCGCGGTGGTGGAGGCGCCCCCGGCGTGCCGCGCCCGCCCCGCATTGGCACGGGGCGCCGGGGCGCTGTGCCGCCGCCGCCGCCCGGACAATGTGCGTGCGGGGGGAGCGGGAGGGGAGCGGAGCGGGAGCGCGCCCCGCCGGCGGCCGCGGCACACGCCCAGCCCGCGCCCCGCCCGCCC